CAGTTGCATTTTTCTACTACAGGAAGCAGGTATTAAAACTGCTTTCACCAGAAAATGTGAGACAGCTTTCATTGTGCCCCAGTGTGAAATAATTCCAGTTGAATGGGTTTGCAACTGGTTCTTTATTCAAAAGAAATCCTGGTGTCAAGGAAGGATATGAGTTTTACCCACCTAAAGTGGACATGTTTTTCAAGGATGATACCAATAACGACCCACAGTGGTCTAAGGAACAGCTAATTGCAGCAAAATTAGGCTTTGCTGCGCTTGGTATAAAACTGAAGTGGATATCGTGAGTCATGCTACATAGGCTGTTTTTGAAATTCTGGAGAGATCCTGGTTGCCCCCCAGAACTGTACACTGGTTGATATGACCAGCAAAGAAACTGTTCCCACTGATGTCATTGATACTGATTCCTAGAGACACTGACCATCAGGTGATCAGAGCCAATAGAAAGACAGTCTTTCAATCATACTTTAAAAAATATTATTTAAAAAAATAGAGACAGAGTCTTGCCATGTTGTCCAGGTTAGTTTCGAACTCCTGGGCTCAAGTAATCCTCCTGAAAATGCTGGGATTACAGGCATGAGCCACGACTCCTGGCCAAAAGATAAAGTCTTACCAAGTCTTCAGTGTAACTCCTGAAGGCTTGCAGATGGTAAGGACAAACTTTGTGTGGGTTGTAGAGAGTAGAGTCGCTTTTGAAATCACAGTCAATGCAGTCTTGCAGTACTGTTGGGTTCTATTTCTGACCTTAAGTCACTGTGAAAAAAATCAAGAAGGCCTGTGGAAATTTTGGCATTCCATGTGGATTTTGAGTAATATCTGCACATAAATGACTAGATGAAACTCTGAGGATTAAAGCTGAGTATGCAGAGGGGGCATTCGTACTGTATTTGTGGCAGTGGCAGGGAGAAGCAATGGTTTGGGATAAGCGATGTTTGGGAACACTGCATATCCAGTTATCTGCTGTCCTCCCCTCACACCAGACTGAGGTGTTCAGGATGTGTTGTCTCAGCTGTTCAACCATACTTTCTCCAGAAGGATGAGCACAGTTTGCTGCTCATATATTTGGATTAAACAAGCATAGCAAACTGCAAGCAAGCACTTTGAACACATGGATTTCCTGGAAGAAAGGTAACAAGAAAATCAGAGAAAGAGCATCATTGCATTTTTTTTAGGGGGAAAAGTACACATTTCTAATTTAGCTGCAGAAAAATCAAGCAAGATGAAAAAAATTACAGAACACAAATAAAATATATCGGTGAATACATGCTTCTCTATATTAAAAAAAAATCACAACGAAATTACAACAGGTAAGTGCTGTGAAAAATAGAAACATGGTGACATAAGAAGAGCCTGACAGGGGGAACCGAAGCAAGTCCTTAGAGTGTAAGCCAGCTTCCCTAAGGAAGTGACATTTGGGCCGGGCGCGGTGGCTCACGCCTGTAATCCCAGCACTTTGGGAGGCCGAGGCGGGTGGATCACAAGGTCAAGAGATCGAGACCATCCTGGTTAACATGGTGAAACCCCGTCTCCACTAAAAATACAAAAAATTAGCTGGGCATGGTGGCGCGTGCCTGTAATCCCAGCTACTCAGGAGGCTGAGGCAGGAGAATTGCCTGAACCCAGGAGGTGGAGGTTGCGGTGAGCCGAGATCGCGCCATTGCACTCCAGCCTGGGTAACAAGAGTGAAACTCCGTCTCAAAAAAAAAAAAAAAAAAAAAAAAAAGGAAGTGACATTTGAACCGAAATCTGAAGGACAGGAGTTGATAAATGAAGTAGAAAAAGGGAGTGCCGAGGGCAGAGGGCAACTGCATGGGCAGAGGCTGGGAGCAAGATGAGCACAGCGTGGCCCAAGTAATTAGGAAGTGCCAGTGGCTGGAGTGCAGAGACAGCAGGGCAGTTTTAGCTAGAGACAAGAGTAAGGGAGGCAAGGGCTGGATCATCCTGTCCTCTGTAGGCCACAGCAAGCTGTTTGGTCTTTATGGCAGAGGAAAGGCATTTATTGAAGTGACATTTTAAAAAATTACTGATGGTTGGGCACGGTGGCTCACGCCTGTATTCCCAGCACTTTGGGAGGCTGAGGCAGGTGGATCACGTGAGGTCAGAAGTTTGAGATCAGCTTGGCCAATGTGGTGAAACTCCATCTCTACTGGAATAAATACAAAAATTAGCTGGGTGTGGTGGTGGGTGCCTGTAATCCCAGCTATTCAGGAGGCTGAGGCAGGAGAATCGCTTGAACCTGAGAGGCGAAGGTTGCAGTGTGACAAGATTTTGCCACTGCACTCCAGCCTGGGTGACAGAGTAAGACCATGTCTCAAAAAAAAAAAAAAAAAAAAAAAAAAAAATTGACAATATGAAGAATAGATTGACGGGAAATGAGAACTGAGATAAATCCTATTTTATCTTCAATTTCTACTTTAAAATCAGCTACGCTCTTTTGGAGAAAAAATTCCCTAGTTGGAAACTTCAGATAAATAGATAAAAGATGGGAGTTAGCCTCTCGGGGATTGGGAGCGTTCTGTAGCTATGTGCGGAGGTTCCCCAGGGCTCTTCCTGGTCAGGCCTATTCCTCACTCTGGAGGTCTAGAACTCTACAATGGCTGCTAGAGGTCGGTTGAAACATTTCATCAGATGATGTGATTATTAAACACCATTTTTTATCAATTCCAACTTTACAAGTTCAGGATATTGCACTTTCTCTTTATGATGGATTTCAATCGCAAACAGGACTTTTAGAAGCAACTGCTCCTTTACTTTGCTGTTCTTATCAGGCAACCTCAACATGGCTAAAACTTCACACTCTCCTAACCAATGAGCCACAACAGAAAGGCGCAGCTCTGAAGGCAAAAGTAGGTATTAAAAAAAACTGAAAAAAGCACAAACATTCAGACCATTTAACTTGGGAGTAAACATTACATGAGGCTACTCTATTACAACAGAAAGTACTGATAAGCTAAATCAAGGAAGTTTATATTCAGTAGGGAAGTTTATAACATATGAGGAAGACCTTTAAGAAATAAAATGCAGATGGGCACAGTGGCTCATGCCTGTAATCCCAACACTTTGAGAGGCCAAGGTGGGCAGACTGCTTGAGCACAGGAGTTCAAGACTAGCCTGGGCAACATGGCGAAACACCATCTCTAAAAACATTAGCTGAGCATGGTGGCACGTGGGTGTAGTCCCAGCTACTCAGGAGGCTGAGGCAGAAGGATCACTTGAGCCCAGAAGTCAAGGCTACAGTGAGCCATGATCATGCCACTGCACTCCAGACCGGGCAACAGAGACCCTGTCAAAAAAAAAAAAAAAAAAAAAAAGCTTTGCAGTTAAGCTACCTGGAAAATAAAACTTACATGAAATCCCTCTTGAACAAATAAGATAGATAAACAAAGGAATTTTTACTTGCAACATCCCCAGGTTAAGTTGCTAAAAGTCAAGGTAGTGTACTAAATGTTTTCTGAATAAAAAGACTAACAGATTATTAACACCACAGAAAAGGAACGTGCTAGTAATAAGGAACTACTCAATCATAAGAGGAGACCAAAAAGAGCGGCTTAAAAAACAAACTTTATTCCAAATTATCAGAAAAAAAAAAGGTTAACTCTGAAACATTGAACAGATTTCATTTACACTCACATGGTCATAAAACTCAAACTATCCAACAAAAATAGCATTGTGCGCTTAACAACATTTAATAATGAACGTTTCAGAGGAACATTTAGAGACTCCCACACCATTTGGGAGCCATTAGGCAATACACATTTAAACAAAGACAGCATTAAAAACTAAAAATTCCCCGATTTCAAGAGAATGCCGGTTCAAGTCTTTGATATGCATTTGCACATAAGAAATATTTTAATTTAAAAGAAACGAAGTTACCCTTTCTTCAATTGTCATCTCCTGTCCACCCTTCATTTCATGATTGCATACCCCTCACTTGACTTCATCTACCCTAAACCAGTGTTACATCAACCTGACTGGCTTCACTCAAAGCCCTCTAGATCCCGTCAACCACCATTATTCCCTTATATGTTGTTTGCACAGCCTTATATTGAGTATTACATTGTAACTGAGCTCAGGAATTTCAGGTATCCGAAGGTAATTATATACACACACGATTCTGTTTTATTGCACAGTTCACAATATAGCCGGTGATTATACAGCCAATCTTGTTGAGTATCGATTATTTAGACAAAAACATGGATTTTGTCCCCAACCACAAATGAAACAAGACAGACACACATATTCGCCACCATATAAAGGTTGTGTTTACTCTGTGGTGCAGTCCTGAGGGCTCATACCACTCTAAGTGTGTTAAATACAGAATTCAAAACATTTCTGGTGGCATCAAACATGAAGCATAGGACACAAGACCATAAGTGTCCTGCGCTCATGAGCCATTTGTGCCACATATGTAACAAAAAGGCCACTTTTAAAGCTTTTCAGATATTCAATCATGTTTGCCTTTTCACATTTTTTTTGAGACGGAGTCTCAGTCTATAGCTCAGGCTGGAGTGGAGTGGCATGATCTCAGCTCACTGCAACCTCCACCTCCTGGGTTCAAGCAATTCTCCTGCCTCAACCTCCCAAGTAGCTGGGATCACAGGCATGTGCCACTGTGCCTGGCTAATTTTTTGTATTTTTAGTACAGGGTTTTGCCATTTTGGCCAGGTTGGTCTCCAACTCCTGACCTCAAGTGATCCGCCCACCTCAGCTTCCCAAAGTGCTGGGATTACAGGCATGAGCCACCGCACCTGGCCTGAAAAAAAATTTTCAAAATTACTACGCTAGTTCACACTGAAGGTAAAAACAGTAGTTAGAATCTCTTATTAACAACACATTTTGACTTCAAATTCAGACAAAGCTGTCGGTTACAAGGTGTTGAATTTTTTTGTCAAATTTAAGAAATCTATAGGACAACACAAAACCATCCCTAGTAATGTATTTGCAGTTTGGTCTTCAAAAGCTGCAAAGAGTGACAAAGAAATTAAAAAAAAATACCGAGTTAAAACCATTAAAAATATTTATTAGTAATTGTTTTTAAATGCCACTTATTTGAGACAGCACTAACCAAAGCATTTTCCTTAGATTTCTCACTTAGCTTGTATTTCACAAAAGTGCTTTAGAACTTAGATTTCTACCATCTGTATGGAGTGTAAAGACACAAGGAAGCCCAACAAAACCAAAGGCCCAACGATGTCTATTCCCAGGGCCAAGTTAGAACCCCAGGCTAACCGACCTGCCCTGTGCTGAGTTGCTGGACACACCTGTGATGCAAAGAGTCACATACAGGAATAAGGGAGTCAGGCACCAAGGCACCTTTATTCATTCATTTTTCAAACTCAACTCCCTTGAAATTCTGACTGTAATAGGCCAAAGGACGTTACTCATATTTATTTGGTGCCAAATTATTGTTATTTTTAAATGCTTACATCTGCACCTTAAAGTAAACTGCAACATCCAGCACAACACTGTCAGACAGAGGTGCCGTATGGCTACTTAGCTTCATTACTGCCTGGCTAACACTTAACATGCTTCATCCTTTACAGCTGGAAGAAGGATGTTCACTGCTTTTCACCAGCCACACCGCATTTAGAGGTAAACAGCTTTTATGAACTATTTGCCCAGAAACTTTCAGTAAACTACCAAGTTGAGGCCCTGATTTTATTTTGGTCAGTAGGTGCACATACTCACATGCAATCACCCAGAAAGAAGAAAAACTGGTTAACATGAAACCTACCATCATGTCAGATGCTGAAAATCAATCTTTAACTACATATTTACAGAAAGGGTTTTAGAATTCATAATCCACTTTTTCAGTCTGTCTTTTATATTTCATTAGTCAGTTTTAAGTGGCATATGAATCATTTTGCTTTATCTGGAAAATATTTTCACATTTTCCAATTCCTTTGTCAAAGAAGTTTTCCTCTGTTAAGGGATAAGAATGCTATTTGGCTATTACCTACTTTTAAAATTCAAACTAACCCTTCAAACATGTTTATTTAGATCATATGCTCTCAAACTATCTTTTACTGACACAATGGTAAAACTGGGTTCCCAAAACCTCAAAACCCTGATAAAGTCTCTATTTCCAAGAATAAAATAAAAGACAGCCAACACTGTGGGATGAAAATGATCCTGAGCCTTTTTCCCACTCTGTAACATTTAGAAACTAGGGGGGGAAAAGTGGGATTGCATTGACAGACATCCAAAACAAAATGTTATGGAAGCGTTTATTTTTTAAAAGGAGAGTTTTAAGAGAACAGGACGCTTGAATATGACCAGCTCCTACTCAAGGGGAAAAATAACCACAGACCTTTGCTGAGATGGCACCAATAATTTAAAGAAACGAAGCTAAACGGAATTTTATCTATACACAATTAATATGAAAACTTAACAGGATGGAACACTTATAACAAAATTTAAGTCCCTTCATCTTTTGGCAATGAAATAAGTGAAATTAACATAAGGATATTTTGGAAGGGTTGAAGGTCACAGTCAAAATCAAACAGAAAACTTTTAAACTGGAAAGCAAAATGCTAACTTTCATAGCTCCTTGATCTACCCTATCTAAATAGAAATAGTATAATGACTATCCAATAGATGCTTAGTTTCAAAATGAATACAAGCAATTTACCATGAAAAGCCTATACCTAATAAGCTGCTTTTCTGCTCTGTTCTGCTCCTTTGTTATATGCTTGAGCTTAATGAAGACTACCCTCTACAGCTCCTCCTGAGGGCAGAGAAGCAAGTAATGGAGTAAAAAAGTAAGCCTGAAAAGCCCCTGGCCCCTGAGGACCTTCTCTCTGGCCGGTTACAAACACTTATGTTTCAATGCAGAAGATTTCAAGACTGATTTGAAGAATAGAATCCTATCTTGGGGATTAGGTTCCCTGTCAAAGGCCATCAGATGGACAGCTATTTACCAGGCAATTAGCCTAAAGCTCTTAGGTAATGATAAAAAACAAAACCAGCAAACAAAACTCCCCATATTTTCCTATTGGAACATTTCATTCTGTTTTGTTGATGCTTAAGGAAAACAGCTTTGCCCATAATTCACTGTGGCCTGGAGTTATGACACCAACTTGTATTTGGCCAATTAAGAAAGAGGCCAAACTACATTCTTCTTAGAAGTTCTGTTCAGTTGAAAAATGGCACTTAACTGGTGGTGTTTTCATATAACCTTTAACAAGAACTCATAAGTTGCATTGATTATGCCCCAAGAGATAAGGGACCGATGATAATTCAGATGGGCACCTCTGAAAAGATTTATCAGTTTTCTGTCTCGTTCCAGCCAGATTTTTTGGAAAACCTTGGGGAAAGACTGAAATTCCCCACCAATCTGAGACTGTATGCGAGTTTTTACAACATTAATTGGAAAAAACAAGAATCCCAACATGGCACCCAACAGACCTCCACAGATAAAATCATTGACCAAATGAGCGCTGTGAGTCGTTGCGGTAGGCAGATGTTCCTTAATGGGACCTCGGAGGCCGAAAAAAAAGACATTGCTGAGTCCATTACGGAAAAGAATGGGCACCAAGCCTCGATAATACTCTCCAATTCCATGACACTTCAGTGCCTTGAATGCCTGGTAAGTGTTGGTAAATTTGTCATGATGCTTGTGGTCTTGAAGCAATGTCTGAACTCTTTCCAGTGGAGTGAAAATTGCTTCTGTTGTCCCTGCAAGCACTGCTGCCACGCTGCGAGTTGCAAACTCTGGAGCACTGACATGCTTGTGGAGAAGGCAGGATAAATCCTCATACAGACCAAACATAAGTGCGAGCGTAGTTGTCTTCTGCATCAATGGGGGAAGGATTCCACGATACAAGTTTCGAAACCCATCCCTTCTCAACTGAAGTATTGCATCCCGGGTTTTGATGCCATACAGCTGCTGTCGAAAGAGGACCTTCTGAATGGGAAATGTGATTGCGACGTTGTTGAAGGCTGCACAGCAGCCACACAAGTAATGCTTCATTTCACCAACGTTTGTAATATGAGGTGACATATCTTGTTTTGAAGATGTTAGTATTGGTGGTCTCTTTTCATGAGCTTCTGAATCCATCATGTTGCTTAAGATCTTTCTTTTTCATGAAGGACTTTTTTTAACCTACAAATAATAAATGACAACGGGTAAACCCGTTTTTATAGAGAGCTAAACACATGGAATTTCTCCCTAATCCATCCTCTAATATCTGGACACCACACTTTCCTTTTCAGGCTAGATCAATGATTCTTAAAGCACTTTCAGAAGACCCCTGGAAGTTCCTGAGATCCTTTTGGGAGTCTAGGAGGTTTTCCTTTTTCAAACTATGTGAGGCTTGATTTTTTGCATATACTTTAATCAAAACGACGTATCACAACAGACTGCAGTAAACAGGAAACTCCATGTGTCTTTTAAGTCAGATATGAAAGAGGCTTAGAAAATTGTAAGATATTTTCTAATGACTGTAAAATCATTAGAAAAAAATGGGGGACATGAGTAGTTATTTTTCATGGAAATGTGTTAACATGTAATGTGTTTACCATCACCTTAAAATTAATATTTTAAATTCTTAAAGACCTGGAATATGAGTCCATATAAACAAAGGCTGTTTGGGGCCCACAATAATTTTTTAAGAGTGTAAAGGAGTTCTAACACCAAAAAGTTTCGAGAGGCACTAGACTAGTTCGTAAGTACTGACTACACTATATAACAGTATATTATCCTGCTGAAATAGACCCACATTCTATAGCAAGACATGCATTCATTCTATTCATATTTATACTTCTTTGGTACCTGCTATGAACTAGGTCCTCTGCTAAGTTGCTCGAGATTCAAAGATAAGGAACTTACAAACTAATAGAATTTGCCAAGGTGAACAATTACACCAATGTGACAGCTTCTCTGATAACTATCCATGTGGGAACACAGGTAAGGGACACTGAACATGCATCGTGGAAGGTGGAGGTGTGGGACGAGCAGGGCAAGGAAGGCCTGCAGGTATGTACCATGCACTCCATTTTCATACACGAATTCTCAAAACAACTCCATAAAGTATTATTTTTCCAGTTTTACAAATGAATAAAACCAGTATTTTCTTTTGTTCAAGGCACAGCTAGTAACTGGTGGGGTGAGCATTTTGAAATGAAGTCTGACTGATTCCAGGGTTCATATCCCTGCTACCATATCACAGATGGCAATGACTATGTGAGGCTGCCCTGGGATAAGAGGTAGCTATACCAGATAGTGCTGAAAATGATTTGAAGCCTGCACACATAGGCTGAGCTGAGTGGAACTAGCCAAAGTTCTGCCCCTATAATACATTTGCCCCTGTAAAATGCAGTATCTTTCCTTGCCAGTCATCTAAATCTGATTCCCTCTCTTCCTCCCTGAAAGAGTCCAGAACCAAATAGTTGGGTCACTCAGAACAATTCCTACCTTCCAGTGCTGGTCTTGGAAATCACCTTTATTTGGGGGATAAAAAGGATAATCACCTTTATTTGTATTATATCTTATATATGTGTGTATATATGTATGGGGGTGGTGTGTGTGTGTGTGTGTGTGTGTGTGTGTGTGTGTGTGTGTCCGGCTAAATATTTTAAAACTGGATTTTAATTCCTTAACAGTAAGAGACGGCCAGGCATGGTAGCTCATACCTGTAATCCCAGCACTTTGGGAGGCTAAGGTAAGAGGATCGCTTGAATCTAGGAGTTTGAGACAAGCGTGGGCAACATAAAGAGATCCCATGCCTACAAAAAATTTAAAAATTAGCTGAGCATAGTAGCACATGCCTGTAGCCCCAACTATCTGGGATGCTGAGGTGGTAGGATCAATTAAGCCAGGGAGGTCAAGGCTGCAGTGAACCATGATTGCACCACTGCACTCCAGCCTGGGTAACAGATCAAGACTCTTGTTTCTAAAAATAATAACAACAATTTAAAAATTAAAAATAGTAGTCAGGTGCAGTGGCTCATGCCTGTAATCTCAGTACTTTGGAAGACCAAGGCGGGAGGATCGCATGATCCCAGGAATTTGTGAACAGCTTGGACAACACGGTGAGACCCTCTCTCTACAAAAATAAAAATAAATTAGCTAGGCATGGTGGCATGTACCTGCAGTCCCAGCTACTGGGAAGGTGGTGGCAGAAGCACCTCTTGAGCCCAGGAAGTTGAGGCTGCAGTGAGCTGTGTTCATGTCACTGTGTTCCAGCCTGGGTGACAGTAATACCTTTTTTTTTTTTTTTTAAAAAAAAAACAAAACAAAACATACAATCCAACAATCCTAATTCTGGGGATATAACCAAAATAACTGAAACAAAGTCTCAAAGACTTTGCACACCCATGTTCACAAAGGTACTATTCACAACAGCTAAGAGGCAGAAGCAATCCAAACCATATTTAAGGGTTTCAATGAGAAATAATAAAAACAATGAAAAAATGTCTGGGTCTTTGACTTAGAACAAAAAATTGCCAAGTTCCTTATGTTTTTTTTCTTCCTCATACTACACACATGCTGTGGTGAACTGCTAAACATTCAGGACAAAAGATGTTAAAGAGAACCGTGACTACTCTCAAATTAAAAAGCATAGAGCTGAGGCACAGAAAGAATCAGAAAGCACCAGTTCCTAAGGGGCGTATATGTGCCAGAGCCAACGATATGTAATGAATATGAACACGAACACAGAACCATAATTTTCCTTCTAAGATTATAGATTAAGAAAATAATTCACACAACATGTACACAAAGATTCAGCCATAATATAGTCACAGCAAGGCTTTTAACAGCAAATACTGAATAAAAATGCTCAACAGAAAAGGATACAATGTCCAAGTGAAGATGTATCCACAGCATGAGCCACATACTTAATAAACATAAGCATTTAAGGTTCAGTATAGCATGAATTTTAAATTTTTAGTGGTATTTAGATGGAAAGTGAAAATTAAATAGTATTATGTATGTCAGGTACCTATGTCAGGGGAGATAAGACATGCAAATAATTAGACTATATGAAGATGATAAATACAGTCAAGGAAAGTATCAAGGCTCCATACAGCAGACCGTCATTAATCAGCTGTCTGGAGGGAATGACAGGCAGAACAGGAACCCTGGGCTCCGCTCTGAAGGCTGAGTGTCACTATGCACATAACTGTGAAACACATTTTAGCCAATGGAGCGGCACAGGCTAAGGCATAGGTCTTGGGCCAAAGGAGCAGTGTCACCACATTCTTGGAGATTACTTGTGTATGCCCTGCAGAGGCACAATGTAGGTGGAGAAGGATGGGTAGCTGATGAGGACAGAGAAGCAGGCTAGGACTCTCAGGAAAATCCCAAGACCCTCTCAACAATACTACATTATATATATCTATACATGTCTATACATATATAGATACTTTTTTTTTTTTTTTTTTTTTTTTTTGAGACAGTGTCTTACTCTGTTGCCCAAGCTGGAATGCAGTGGTGTAATCTTGGCTCACCTGCAGCTTTAACCTCCTGGAGTCAAGCAATTCTCCGACCTCAGCCTTCTGAGTACCTGAGACTACAGGCTTTTTTCTTTTTTTGAAACTGAGTCTCGCTCTATTGTCCAGGCTGCAGTGCAGTGGCATAATCTTGGCTCACTGCAACCTCTGCCTCCCATGTTCAAGTGATTCTACTGCTTCAGCCTCCTGAGTAGCTGGGATTACAGGTGCACACCACCATGCCTGGCTAGTTTTTCTATTTTTAGTAGACGCAGTTTCACCGTGTTGGCCAGGCCAGTCTTGAGCTCCTGACCTCAGTTGATCCGCCTCCCAAAGTGCTGGGATTACAGGCATGGGCCACCGAGCCTGGTCTAATTTTTGTATTTTTTGTAGAGATACGTTTCAACACATTGCCCAGGCTGGTCTCGAGCTTCTGGGCTGAAGTGATCCACTCGCCTCAGCCGCTCAAGGTGCTGGGATTACAGGTGAAAGCCACTGTGCCTGGCCAACATTCTTTTCTTTCTCTTGTAAAGCAGATGAAAGAAACTATTTTACTTAAGTATGTTACACCAAGATCTGTGTGTCCTTTTTGAAGAATATAGACTATTATTAAGAAAATGTAGACATCTGTACAATCTATGGCCCAATGACCCTTTGAAGTTTGAGCTGCTTTGCCGTCATGTTTCTATTAGAAAAGATGAACTCTTAACTGAGAGCAAGTTAGGACTAATGTCACTGAAGGCCCAAAGTCTACCCTAAGGAAGGTAATATGAGGAGTCAGGAAACTTCTCCTCACTCAAAGTCACCTGGTTGTATCCAGAGAGCTGGGCAGTGTCAGAGGTAAAACCTTTCACTGTCCCCTCCCTGATCAGGAGAGCCATACTACCTCTAAGGTCCAAAATATTTTGTTCAGTTGAAGAAACCTGCTCTGAAAATTTGTTTTGCTGCAATTTAAACAGAGGAATTACTTCGAATTTTGGTGGGTACTAATGCAGTTAGATTATGAAGTCACCTGTATGCTCCATTGAGAGATCCCAGATTCCTTGGAGTTGGGCTGTTTGTAGATCCAGTAACAACAAAAAAAATCACTTAAATAAAAATTCAGAAAATAAATGTGTATTACCTAAGCGAATAGAGAAAAAAAGCTGGAAATCAATTAAATACACAGAGAGTCTCTCCTCCAGGCTCACCGGCCTACTCGGGTCTCACCTCACCTGCACTAATGCAAGGGGCCCTGCAGCAAGCAACCTGACTCTGTCCACACTCACCCCACCAGCTTCTCCCTGCCTTCTTCCAAACTACTCATCGTTTAAAACACACACACACACACACACACACACACACACACACACACACACACACACACAACTAAGTAAAAAAAGTAAGGTGTATAACAATGCATTTTGGAATCTAATATCAGCAAAGAGATATTAGAGGTTGCACAGTACTCTATGAAATGACTGCACTATATACAATTTATTAAGGTTGCACAGTATTAAGATTGCACAGTACTCTATGAAATGACCACACCATATACAATTTATTCTGTCTCCTATTTATGATTGCTGTTTTTTTTTCTTTTTTATGGTTTTGTTTTTTATTTTTAAAGTTTGGAAAAGCCTGTGGACAATTCAGCTTACCAAGTGTGTGAGTGTGTGTAAAAGATACAGG